TATACAGAAAACTCTTTTAGGAATTCTTTGTCTGATACTCATCTCTAGGGAAGAACTGTTCTGCTGACCTTGTTTTTCTCAGTCTGTACAAATTTGAGTTAAAACATGTCCTGCCTTAGAGAAGAAAAATGTCAGGATTAACTAGCAAATATTATAAAATAAAACTTAACACTGATCTTTAATTATGCTTCCCCACCCCCCCCCTTAATGTTCTGTGCAATGATTACCTCTCTTCTTGGCATGTGGTGGGCCAAGGTATTCATGGGCATGCTGGACTTCTTGCCATCATGTAAGGCTGACACACGGGGTATCTTATGCGAGGCTCAGCAGACCTTTTCCGAGTTGTTGCTGGTTTTGGCATTTGTTCCGGGATGGTCAGAGCCAGTTGGCTTTTTGCAAAAGTAGTTTTTTAATTGGATTATTATATATGTGGTAACTTGCTGCAGGCAGTTTAAGGGCCTGTTATTCATGCCCCAATTCTCTTAAGTGGTGGCAGCCAGGTTTACAGTTATAATATATACTTGGGTTGGCTACTCCTAGAATGAAGTCACCAAAGGCTTAGCGTGTTCAGTAACATTTGTGCTTTATTCATAAATATGTAAAAAGTATATAAATATGTAAAAGGAATATATATGGATATGCAGTGTTACACACTGCAGTAGATGCCCCAAAATTCTCTTGTCAGATTTCTTAAAGGAGCGTGGAGTTTAAAACTTTTGCAAATCCAACGCTACTTGATCTGTATTTCTAAGTCTGTATATCTTTTCTGCTATTCATTGTATGTTGGGTGTGGATGCCTACTGTTCTGACCAGGCATGCCTCAGGCATTATACAACAACAAGAAATCCATTCGCAAATACTTTTAGAGTCAAAAATCAGTCAGTTGAAAAAGATTGTAGGTGACCCATGCAACATAAATTTTTCATTCCATGAAAACACAACACAACCCCATGTCTGTTGTCTGTCTGTCTGTCTTTCTTTCTTTTCCTTCCATCCTAGGATATTTCCACGGGAGATGATAGGAGTTAGCACACTGCATGGGTGGGCAACTTTATTGACACCTAGGGCTATACAGATGAGGGGAAAAATACAACTTGGTTTTCATGAAGTTTAGAAATGCTTCAAAGAACAAAATAGGCTTAATGCTTATTTTTCTCCTCCCAATCACCTCCATGCAAACAAGAAACAGCTGAAAATAGAACCACTCTAGGAGCTGCAGAAGAGGTCCTGGGGGTGTTATGCATCCCATGGTCCATGGGTTATTCACTTTGCTCACAGCTTAAATTCAGTGGAATTTAGCGGAGAGAACATTTAGTGGGCTAAAATTGTTGTGCCAATAACATTTAAACAATAAAGATTTTCCTTCCCTGTTTCAAACAGCTGTGATTTATAGGGAAAAAGAATTTGGTTTTAAGGATGTTTAATATTGTAGAAACTAATAGTGTGATCTGTCAACCAAGGAAGTCCTTGTTCTAAAATCTAATTCAACCATAAAGTTGCTGAGTGGCTTCAAAGGGGCTATTCTTCTTCCCTTCCCTTATGTGATGACAACATTCGCTGGTTTCAGAAAAGCAGTTGTATATACAATGTCATGAATGACACAAAACATAAAAATAGCAGTTGCAACCATGACTGAGGAGAAACTGTTAAAATTCTTTGGGGACTCATGCAAATAATACTCTACAATAAAATAAAACAACTCTTGATCTACTAGGGTTAGTAGTATCCATTCTACATGGACTCATGGTAAACAGCCTGAATCTCTCCAGACCAGCAAATCTGGCTGGGGAATTCTGGGAGTTGAAGTCCTCCAGGCTTAACGTTGTCAATGTTGGAGACCCTGCTCCAGACAATGATAATGAAAACTCCATTTTCCAACATTTTACTCTTGGCTTCCTTTTAGCTGTTAGTCTTTTAGGATGGACTTGGTGTTTCCTCCTTAACAGCCTCCTCTCTGGCTGCAAAGTATCTGAAGAAACGTCACCTAGGGAAGCTCACCAGACCATAGACAGCAACCCCTTTCCTAATCATGCGTGCTGACAGGCAAGTACTTTCATGCTGCTTATCTTCACAAAAGAATGTGCTATGTAGTACATAGTGATGGACAGTAAGCAAAGCATGATGATTAAGTTAGTCACGTCCTCGCCCTTTTTGTGGTTTTAAAAGCTTACTGTTGGGTCCAAACTATCACTTCACGTGTGGTGGTGAGTAAAACAGAATAGCCATTTACACTGAGGCAGCATAGCAAGATAACTTACATTTCCAGGAGTTTATATCTACCTTGGGATAGCATCATGTGACTTAATTGTTTAATGGAATGAGAGAATGCCCCATTCATTTTGGTATAACAGGGTTTTTTTGTTCAGGAAGTAAGAAATTTTGGTCTACTCTGATACGTCATGTTGCTATTTTGATCATCATAAATACTCTAAAAAGATTTTTCAAGGCTAGCTCAGAAAGAGGGGAGAAAATAGAAGACAATGTAAAAATTTAATGAATGGTGCTGGGTTGCTTTAGGCAAGGGGAAGGTTTTAAATGTGAAAAGTTAATCTTATCTATTTGTGGCTGCAGTAAACAATATTAAGAGTGGCTTAAACTAAGCTAATCCCCAAAAGACTCTGGAAAAATACTCCTTGTGCAAGATCACATTTCACACGTATGTCCTGTGGCTGATCCTCAGTTTTGTATGAATGATTTCAAACCAGATATCCATATATGCTAATGTTTAGAAAAAAAGAAAACAAATTCTGTTGTCCCAAAGCAGAGTCTAATCCAATGCATACTGTTTTGTTAAGACATGCTGTGGTGGCTGAACACCACACTTCTAGGAGGGTCAGCAGTTTACTTTATGGAAGCCTATTGCAGCCTGCTTGAGAAAGATTATTTTAGAAACAAGTTTTGTTCAGGGATGTGAATCTGACATGGTGAGGGGTTTATATATATATACATACATATAATCTGTCCTCATAGCAGAGGACAGATTTCAACCAGGACTCTTCAATTCCAAGTTCAGTCCTGGTTAAAATCTGTCCTCTGCTATGAATTTCCTAAGGTTCTTTAAGCCTTCCAGATATAGAATTGTGTTCTCCTTTTGTAGCTCTGTAAGGTACAATTTCCATTCTCCAAAAACTATACAAGGCTTTGCATAGCAGGAAGAGACCTGAGTGGTTAGGTAAAACTCCTTTTTTTAAAAAATATTCCAGATGTATTGAGGGCAAAATAGTATCTTAAGATTCTGCAAAGCTAAGACACTCATGTTGGTTCTTAATTGCTCATCCCCAAAATCATTCAGGCCAATTTTCTGGCTTTATCTAAACTGACATGGCTCAGGAGGCATAAAAGGAATATTTGTGGGCCACATGCAGAGTTAAATCTTTGATAAAGTGGCTGCTTCTGCCTTTCCACATGAGAATGGAAGATTCGTAATGGTGTCAGACCAAGGAAAGCATTGTTTAGCATTTTAACAACATTCAGTGAGACTACAGAAAACCCAGGAATCCAGGATTACCCAGTTCATCTGTGCCTAATTTCATTATCACTGTAATTGGTTAATCATTTTGAAAAAGCATTATCCTCCATTTGTTTGATCTCAAGTTAGCAGTGGAGTTAATAAAAGGCATGTGAATGTGATCATTCTGAACTAAGTGGGACATAAGGTTTTTTTTAAAAAAAAAAAATTAGGCAACAAGCTTTCAGGAAACTGAAGTGAAGATCAGTAAGAACAGGACAGAAATCATAATAAATGAATAAAATACTAAATATACATATTTAAATGGGTTTGTTTTAAAAATTCAACATACTCTGTATATTCTTTAAAACAACCCACTTAAAGATATATATGAAGTGTTTTGTATAGTTGATTATACATGGGAGAAATTCTGTATGATGGTAATGATTACAGATGATAACTGTGTTATTTGGAACTAAATGTTGCAATGTGGAGCCTCCATTTTGAGAAATATACACAACTTCTTTGGAAAAACATGAATAGCCTCTGAAGTCCTTGGAAAACTTGGAAAGTCTTGACTTAGGGCAATGTAACAATCACCAAGCTGTCCTAGTTTTGGATATGACTTGTGTGCGTGCAGCATGTTCTGTTCTCTTGAAATGTGTTTTTGAGTGTAAGATGGGATGAAGATGTTCTGCAGAAAATCCTGAAGAGCTGCTCCCAAAGGAGGCGACGTTTGGGTACAAGGATACAAAATATGATCCCTAAAGGGCAGGCCTGTCAAACTGGTGGCCTGCGGGCCAGATGCATCACCTGCAGGCCATGCGCACCCGGCTCCGCAAAGGCAAAAAACGTGATACATCACAATATGTCGCATGACGCAATCGAGTTTGACATCTGTGTTAAAGGGCAACTGCTACTTCCCCATGTTTACAAATAACAGGGCTATCAACTCCATGATCTTTCAATTTTTTAAAGAGAAGACAGTTTCTAAAAAAAAAGATGAGTTGTGTGCAGAAAGCAAAATGAAATTATTTCTGTCCAAAATAAATCTGCACAAGTACCTTTGGTATAATCCTATCTATTATTTATATAGGGGTGTCCAACCCTGGCAACTTTGCCTGTGGACTTCAACTCCCAGAATTCCGCAGCCAGCCATGATTTATATTATATTATTTATATTATATGATTTATATTATATTTTATATTTATATTTATATTTATATTTATATTTATATTATATTATATTATATTATATTATATTATATTATATTATATTATATTATATTATATTATATTATATTATTATATTATTACATTACATTACATTACATTATATTATATTATATTATATTATATTATTATATTATTTATGTGTTAAATTTATTTGTCAGATAAATAAAAATAAATGAAAAATATATTTACTATGCCACAGATAAGACACTTCTGCAGGCCACTACCTAAATTGCTTATTCATATTTTATGACAGCTTATTAATGAAAACCTGCCTTTCTCTCTTCCAATAAATGTTTTTATTGCTACTTTTCTGAAGGAATTCTGAATCACTGTGGGGTTGGGAGAGGAAGCAGGAAGAATGAGATATCCAGGGCGAGGACAGGATACCTTCCCAGCCAGGTATCATATTATGCAATAAGCACACAATTTTATGGTATCACAAAGCTCTTTGTTTCATCAGACTGACAGAGTTGAAGTTGATGGAACAAGTAGGGCAATAGCTCAGTGTTGTTGGGTGTTGTTGGATGAAACTGGGATGAAGTAGACTGACGATGGGTGGAAATTTATTAAGGTTTCTTTTCCATGGTATATTTGTATAAACATATCCACTGGAACTTTTTTATTACGTTGGTAAGTGGGAGGTCTTTTCTATTCTGGCTAACAAGAAATATTCAAAAATGACTTAATGGCGTATAATCACTTTGTTTGGGATTGCAGATGAAATAACTTACATTTGTGTTGATTGGGATATATACAATATATCCGGTTCAGTTGATGTAACTGAAACAAACAAGCTATTATTTGTGTACTTCTAAGGTGTAATTTTTACTTCGTACAACTTGAGGACATGGACAATGATCCTGAGTTGTTAAAATGCGAGGATGTAATTTGATCTCTTCCAGGGGTGCGTAAATCCTCAGGCATCCTGACCATTGGCAAAGACTCATGGGTAATGAAGTCTCAGTTTTGGATGAACCGAAATATCCAGATTTATTTCATGGCTTCAAGCTTGATATAGAACTGGAAGCAAGGCTGATCTCTTTGAAGGGCAGGTTTCACTGAGTGTTCTTCAGTTTTATGTAGTTTTGATAACATCAACATAGCCAGACTAAATATATTTTTACAATAAGTTTGTAAGACTGGAGTTTCTTAATGATATAGCATGGATAACATCTTATTTGTGGAATAACTTTATTCACATTTGACTAAAGCCTGGTTAAATCTGGCTTGAAATCTAAATGAAATTTTTGCTTCATACCTTACCTAAGTGTTCACTTCCATTAATATCTTAAGATTAAGTTAACTATGTATTGAACAAATGTAGAGGCCTGTTTTGTGATAACTACAGAATGATGTGTAGGACAGTTGTATAAAAGCAACTTCTGGTTATTCCTTTTACTTTATCTCCCCCTTCCTTCCCTAAAATTGTGGAACTAAGTTTTTTTTTAACCACCATTTCTGAACAGGTGAATATCCTTTAACCTTGCAATTAACTGAGTTTGTCACATTTATTACTTTTTTAAAAAGAAAGACTGGAAAAAATCATTAAAGTAGCTTAATATCAGGAGTGGGATTCTACTATTTGGTAGAACTGGTTGTTAACATTCTAAGCAGTTCGGAGAACAGGTTGTTAGAAGAAATTACTGGCCTAATCCTGTAAGGAAGGCAGGAAGGAAACATTCTGGTGTTGCTTACAGAAACTGCCTCTCTGTTAACCCTTATTACATTCTTGGCAGGACGAGACTTCCTGTCTCAGGAACTTCTCTGGAGTTATGTTTCCCTCCTTTGCTGGTACTTTACTTGTGTGGAGTGACCATTCAAAGTTACAATGGCACTGCAAAAAGTGACTTATGACCATTTTTCACACTTACAACTGTTGCAGCATCTCCACAGTCATGAGAGGCAAGGCAAGGAAATGCGTGCCTCGATGTAAGTGATGTTGAGTTGGCCACACCCAGCCAATAACATGACCAGCAAGCCACACCCACCCAGTCACATGACCACCAAGCCACACCCACCAACTAAGCCACGCCCACAGAACCAGTTGTTAAAAAAATTGAATCCCACCCTTCTTAATATCCTTAATATTAAAGTGCTTTTGATAATAATTGTTTAGTAACAATTCAGTTACAATAGCACTGAAAAATGTGACTTACAATGACTCCTTGTGCTTACAGTCATTGCAGCATCCCTAGGATCACAGATCATGATTTGAATGTTTGGCAACTGGCATGTTTTTATGATGGAGAAAGCATCGCCAATTGATCCCCATTTGCTCAACTGGATCCACCTTCTCAACTGGATTCTGTGAAGCAAGGTTAATGGGGAAGCTGGCAGGATATTGCAAATTACAATCACATGATGTCTCACTTAATGACTCCAGTAAAAAAGGTAGTAAAACCAGGTGCTGTTACTTGATGCCCCACTTAATGACCGCTCTGCTTAACAATGTATTTTCCGATCCAAACTCTGGTTGTAAGTCAAGGATTACCTATATGAAATTCGACTTATTTTTTAAAAAATTCCATTTTTTCCTGCAAATTATACTTCTTATAATATTATATTATATATTTAATGGAGAAACCTTAATTTGAGATTCCTTATATAAGTTCTAGTGATTATTTTCATACCGATTAAAGTGTATTTATATCAATTAGGTATACCACTCATATTTTATTTGTAGGAAATTGTAATTTCAAAATATTTTAGTTGAATACTTATCTGCAGGTTATAGTGACAAGCCACAATTTTAGCAAATTCTAAATTTGCTAAATGATCAAGTATTGTACTGCTTAAGTGCTCTCATTTGGTTTTTTCATCAATGGGAAGAGCTCTGGTGGAGGAAAAAAAAGTATTTCTCTGAATCTAGGTGCCCAATTTGTCGGTACTTCTAAGATAGTAATTACAATCACACATTGCATTAAACCAGTGCACTTAACAAGGATTAGTGAATAAGGCTAAGCCGTAGTTGCCTCAGTTTGGGTAACAGGACTCAGTACTTCTCAGTTCTGCTTCTGTTTAACATCTACATGAAGCTACTGGGCAAGATCATCTACTACCATGGACTGAGATTTCATCAATATAGCATGTTGATGTTATCAGCGATAACACCCAGCATATTGTCTGAGCTGATGATGAGTTAAGTGATGCCGTGAATTTCCTCCTACAGTGCTTGGAGGCTGGTAAGGACTGAATGGGGAGCAATGGAGCTGAAACTGAACTCTGGCAAGACAGAAAGGCTGTGAGTTGGGGTTCTTTGGTCCATGGAGAATTGTCATATCTGGTGTTGGATGGTGTTGCATTGCCCCAGACAGACCTGGTGCATAATCTCAAGGTTTTCCTGGACTCATGACTCCGGCTCAAGGAGAAGATGGCAGTCATGGCCAGGAAGGCCTTTGCACAACTGCAGGTGGTGTGTCAGTTAAGCCTTTTCCTGGACCAATCTCTGCTAACAGTCGCTCGTGACTTAGTCATCTCTCATCTGAATTATTGCAACACATTCTACATGGGGCTGTCCTTGAAAAGTATCCAGAAGGTTCAAAATCCAGCACCCCACATGGTTTTGTGCAAGCCTAGATTTGCACATGTGTTACCTCTCCTACAAGAGCTGCATTGGCTGGTGATTTGCTTCCGGGTCCAATTCAAAGTGCTGGTTGTCACCTTCCAACCTGAAATAGCTTGGGATCAGGTTATTTGAAGGATTGACTTTTCCCAGTCATATCTATCCGACCCACCAGAGAGGGGAGGCAGGGAGTGGTATAGGTGTCCTTTCCTAAGGAGGTTCATCCAGCACAGGAGTCGCCAACCTTTTAGACCTCAGGGACCACCAAACTCATAATTTTAGATCCCAGAGACCACTAACTGGTTCTGTGGGTGTGGCCTAATTTATGGGTGTGGCTTGGTGGTCATGTGACTGGCTGGACATGGCTTGTATGTAAATATAAATATTTATATAAATATTTATTTTTTTTATAAAAAAGAGCAACTTTTACCCAAAACCAGGCAAAGCAGGCAGGCAGCTTGAGTTGCTCACAGAATCACAGATTCATTCAAAGATCTATATCTGCCATCGGCTAGCTCAGTCTGTCACATAAAATTTGCTAGCAAGCAAACTTACAAAATTAACTCACAACATACCATGCATGTAAATATTGAATTTTTTTATTAAAAAAAGAGCAACTTTTACCCAAAAGCAGGCAAAGCAGGCAGATTGTGTTGCTCACAGAATCATTCAGTGATCTATCTATCTGCCATTGGCTAGCTCAGTCTTTCAAATTTGCTTGCCGTGAGTCTGCACTGAATTTGCTTGCAAGCAAACCTTCAGTCCTAAGGAGGTTCAGCTGTACTTAAAAGCAGAGCCGAAGATCTAAAGACTAGCTAGAAAGCAAGAAATCCAACCATTTCATGCTTTCTACCTAATCTAAATCTCCCGCACAGCAGAACAGCTGATGGTTGGGGAAAAAAAGGAAAAATAGCAACTTAGCAGGCAAGTTTGCCGGGTAAGGAGTAAATGGGTGGGGAGGGTTCCCATGGGCCATGTGGGCTGCGCAGCCTTGTGTTTCTGTGCAGCCTGGATTAATTGCTTTGGGGGGTGCTCTGGGGGTGAGATTTCTCTGTGGCCCACCAAAATTTTCTCACGGCCCAGTGGGCCGCAGCCCACCGGTTGGCGACCACTGATCTAGCACACAGGTATCAAACTTGTGGCATCATGTTGCCGTCACGTGACGTTTCACAATGGTTTTGCTCTTTGCGGAGCTGGGGCGGGCATGGCCTATGTGTGACACATCCAGCCCACGGGCCACCAGTTTGACACCCCTGATCTAGCAGGACCAAGAAGGTCGTGGCTCCCTCCCTGTGGAACGTCACCTCTGCAGAGATCAGATTACTGATCTGGAGATCCCAGAGTGATATGGAGCCCATCAAGTGGCTCTTCCACTTGTTGTCACCAGGGATGTGGGGATTTATTGCTTTTTGTATTGGGGTTTTATCCTTGTAAGCAGCCCAGAATCACTGAGAGTAAGTTGAGAAACCATATATTTTTTTATAAATATTGTAAATACTGAAATGGGAGTTTTCAAACTTGATAATATCATGACTTTCTAAAAGGATAGTGTGGATTTTTTTGAAAATATACTCCTCCCCATGTTTTCACCAAAGTCACATATAAAATGTGTATTCACCTGTCTTAAATCAACTTCTTTTAAACTGCTTGTGCAATGTCTCAGCTTGCAAAACAGTGGTGGGCTATAAGTTGCTTTGAACACTTTCTTTCTTAGCAAAGACATACAGAGATAAGAACAATCACAGCCTGTTTGCTTTCCCCTCCAGCTTGGTCTCTTCCCTTCAACCTTCACCTTGCAGTTTTCTCTTCACTGCAATGTATCTCTCCCCCACCATTG